CCACAAGGTTACGTCATAGGATTCGCTATACATATGTGTTTTTACCTTCCTAAGAGTTAAAGCAATGTAGGTTTCCAAGAGTAGTGTGATTGGAAAACGAGAACCTGGGAAATAGTAGCATACGGCCCAGCAATCCAGAAACATGTAAGTAATTCTCCCTCTCCATACAAGAAATTCGTTGCATGTCCCACCCCTTCCACGACTTCCGTCATCTGCGCGTTTCTTTCTCTAGTTAAATTGGCTGCATCACTGCTCAGATTTAGTTTTTAGTGAAAAACAATACATGCTGTTATGCTAATCATGCAGAATGCTGAATCTGCGATGTATGTACGTTGAATTACACTGGTGTGCAAAACTTAAGGACGAGATAGAATCTGAAACCTAATTTATTTGTAGCTTTGTGGACCTTTTGACGGTTGCTTTTATTGCTTTTTGTACTGTACTGAAGCAGTTCCTTCTATGTGTGGTTAGGTTCTATAGAGTTGTTTTACTCGCAGTAATACGTCACGGAAAATTTAGGTTCGTCCCTAAGTTTTGCACACCAGTGTAAGTGAAATTTCAACAATTTATATTGCTACCCAAAGTGAGGCTGACACTGTCACGGAAGATTAGGGTAAAAATGGGGAACTGGGAAAAGTTCCGACTAAGCAGCTGAATTTTTGTTAAAAGTTAGTGCACATATAATCATCGGGCAACTGTGCTACCCAACTGTCCGTGACAATGCACCGTGAAGCTATAGAGCCTTCACGCTCAACAGTAAATACTTTACTTAACTACTTACTGAAGTTTGCTAAGGATCCCTCTCCTAAAGAGATTGAGGGTCGCGTCGTACCATGATGTGGAAAGGGATGGCTTCAATCGAGATGAAAACTAGTCCCATCCAGTGACGGGGGCATGGGATGCGACAGTTCATGTCGCCTAAAGAAATTCGGTTTTTCGCAAGGAGGAAGCTCCGTGGTTGGTGTAAAAGCGGGCCAGATGGTCCACGCACCCAGGGGATCTTCACTCTCGTAGTAATTAGATTTTCTGTTGGCGGCAGCAAGTGTCGCACTACAAAGTTTTCTATGATTGTGGAAGAACAAAATAGTTGACTCAGCGATAACAGATTGGATTTCATCTCATTTCAGGGGCTTGATAATTTGGTTGCAAGAAAGAGATCTCTGTTGGAAGAAGTGAAGGAAACGGAGACGTTCAAGGTTTGGTACTTGTGTCATATGTGCAGTGCACGTCCAATAATACTAGAACAAATGTGTAAAAAAAGTTTGAGATGTCGCATTGTTTTTTCCACATCTAGATCAACATGGCACGTAAGAGTAGAATAAAGTAAGCTACTTCAGCACTTTAGTATGTTATTTTATTTTAAGGTTGCCAAAGAAATCTTGGAAAAGTACGATCAAGAAAGTCCCAAGTCTGCATCACAACCTTCTAGTCCGAGTGCGGAGAGACGTTCACTTCCTATAAATCGAGATGGTAAGTATAATTATATGATAGTGGGTAATATTTTCGGTAAATTTACAATCGATTTTTAAATCGCGATCTGTTATTCTTTTTGCTTCTTTATCCAACTTACCTTTGAAAATGTATTTCGCATTTACTGCAGTGCTTTTTCTCTTCTGTTATTTGTAAAAGCTGGGACCAGGTATCACGTATATCTTTTTGTGCCACTGCTATGGAGATATTTCTACTCCTGTTCTCGCGCCGATACTCGAGCACTCAGAAATGCACTTTTTAGGATTAAAATCCAGATGCATGTTTTCAATGATATTCGCTCTGCCTAGCTTGTCAGGAGTCACAGAATGGAAAGGAAATTTTACTTAATTTCCTTTAGTGGTTCCAAAATTAATTTGGACGTGGTTGTTTCAGTAAAACACATATCTTCCCATACGAATAGGTTTGTATTCACTTCTGTTATTCCTTTTTATCAACATGTTTACGTTATGAAAAGAAAACGAGGAATGAACTGAACAGACATATCCGTAAGGTCTGGAAAACCTCTGCCAAACTAAAGAATATTTGGCCTTTCTGTGAGCCATGTGGTTTTTAAGTATGCTAATGTATGACCTATAGAATGAGTACAAAGACCTTAGGAATAAGTCGCACAAGCGCAAGAAAAAGGGATGACTTGGGTGGGACGCGTTACCGCGTCACAATGTCCCACGAGGTGCGCAAAGTGGGACGCGTTACCGCGTCACGCTGTCGTCAACGTGTTAACAACATGATGATAATTTCGATTGACTGTCAATAGTAAGATCATTTCCAGATAATTTCGAAACGCCCAGTCAAGGCAAGAGTCCTGCTGTTCCTTTGATGAGTGGCCCTCAACGTCCCCCAGTCAGGAAGTTGTTCACAAAAAGCACAGATAATATTCCGACTGCTGAGGTACTTCACTCTGTCTTTAGTTGCTTTATTTATTTTTGATGATGGCGGAAGATATTGAGAAAGATGTTGTAATTATAGGGAGCTGCAGTAAAACCGCCTCCTGTATCACGCATAAATCCGATTCGCCCATTTCAACGGGAAGGTACCACAGTCATCGATAAGATGGTTGATTATTTTTTTGGGGATGGACCTGGTCAAAGGTAAGGTTAGTTTTTAGCGTGGTGTTGTTCATGCTAGAAAAATGCATAGTTTCAGAAATGCTCTTATATGCTCAAGTTGTCACGGACATAACGGAATGGCACTTCCAGCTGAATATGATTATCTTGCCTATGTATGCTACATTTGTGGACACTTCAACCCGGCCAGAAAATTCAGGTACGATTCTAAAAGTAGTGCAGTCGTTACATTCTGTAGTGAGAAGTTCATGAGTCGCTTTACAGACCTGGAAGAGTTATCAGCAATCCACCCGCGTCAGTGACGGCAACCCCGCAGATCTCGAAGCCCAGCTCAACTTCAGTAAGGGCATTGCTATTTGCTTCTGAACAGAGAGCGATTTGTAGAATGAGCTGATTGAAGCTTGTTCTCCATTTGTATCTCATCTGATCGAAGGATTATGATATCGATCATAATGATATTATAGTTTTTCGTTTAGGATACTCATGCTTCCACATCTTTACTAGATCGTGACGCTCAAACAAATAAGACGAATGAGAAGAAGGAGAAGGCTGTAAGTTGACGTAAAGCTTGTAGGTTCTCATAATATCCTTTTCAATCCTTTTTTTTGCAAATTTTAAACACGAATTTTATGTGCTTGATTAGTTGTCCTTGCTAATCAGTGGCTGGGAAGAGTGAGGAACAAGAGCGTCGTTACTATAAAAAACAAGAAATAGATTTTCGGTGTGCAGCATATTATCCTAACGGGAGTTTTGGCCTCACTAATGGGTCAACTCGCGCGGCACGTCACATGCAGCGTCATTCAACCGGGCTTGAAAAGGGAGCCAGTAAGGCCCAGTTTATCACTTGCGATTTGTGCAACTTGGCGATATGTTGGTAGGATTGCACTCGTATCGATTTGGAAATTCGGCGTTATGCGATCAAGCGATTTGATGATTTTGCGACCAACGATGACGGTGTCTGAAGGAGTAGCGCACATGATAAGTTTTACTCCACGCTGACAGTTCGGAGATGTGTACGTCGGCGATCCTTCAGTCGATTTGTGAATATTCCTCCCTGAGTGATCGCTAATGATCACATGAATCATGAGCTATGAACGCTGCGTAAGGAAGCTGCATAGCGCAGCAGTCGCACTTGTCGTGCTCGTGTCGACTTGTGCCGCGTTTGTATGAGGAAGCGCTAGTCTTTTATATATTCCACCTTGTGTCTATTTTTAAAGTACGCCCCGTAGTTTTGCGCGCACTAAAATCTGCAATATTTAGTCCAATTCTTTCAAGTTGCTCAGTTTTCCGCTCCGGTTTCTACTCTGTTAGTCAAACAGTGTCGCACTCCTTTATGAAAGAGCGTTGCCCCATTCACAACACCCCGCGGCACGCCTTGATCGCAGCATGTGATCATTTCCATGCTCCAGAGGCGAAAGCATAAATTTGAGATTTTCGAGCTGGTTGGGCTAAATGCCACTAATGCAAGCGTAGATATTTGCGTTATGTATGCTAAAGCTTAATTTCGTTTGTCAGTAACGCACTCGTTGTGTACGAGCACTGATTTCAACTGATGCAACTTAGTGTACTTATTGCAATAATTTACCTAGGTTAGGTTGATCTGGATAATCTTAGCACATACTATTCAGAAGAATGCCTCAAAACTATACTTCTGAGAGCATTATCCTGCATCCATTATCTCGCTCCCCTATGATGTGCCCATTTATTTATTTATTTGCATGTACAAAAATCAGATGGGAAAAACAACAAAACAGTGCCACAACGTAAACAAGACAATAGAAGGATAAAAAAGGATAAAGCATTTGCCGTTGATCAATCCCTTTTTGGGATGCGGCACGCATTCTACTTCCATTTGTACATTCGTAGTGGCGTTTGAATGCGATGTGGCCTATACAATGACTTGCGGGGGCCAGCCGATGTACAAGTCAGTGTTTTTATCCTGGTACCAATTAACCGACCCCGGAGGGATGGAAGGCTTGGTTGGCCCGGGCGACTCACGACCCAGGATTTGATCCCCGGACCGCTCGCGTGGTAAGCGTGCCACTTGCCACTACACCACTTCCGCCCAAGACAATACACAACATTATAAGAAAGCCAGATAGAAAGCTAAGAATGTACTCAGGTAAAAAAAATATAATTGTCTGCCATCATTTATCATGAGTGTTGAAGCCTGAAGCTCAATCTACCCAATTTTGACACTGTCTGCCTCTGGAAGCCACTATCTGTGTGTTCGTTTACTTCTCTGGAGCTGATTTGTATTACAGAATTTAGGATGACTCCTTTGATGACCTGTCGGACGAGAACGTGCCAGAATATACGACGTAATCGCAGTGCTTTTTCGGCACACTATTACTCTAAATCATTGCGCTACTTGTTCATTACCCTTAACCATGTGCGTTATGAAATTGCTTGTGATTATTCCATTGAAATTGTAAAATAGTAACGCCAAGACTGAATGCTCTACTCTTATTTTACTGCTCGATTAACGGATGCTTGCCGAGTATGATAGTTACGGGAGGAGTATTGTCTTGTCTTTAAGGTCTCTGATATCACGATAATGTTTATGAGAGCTCTTTTTCTCTATGTGTGATCTTCTTTTTTGTGATTTTTCAACTCTCGGCTTTCAACTCGAGTGATGATTTAGTCTTTGTAGAATCCTACTTCATAAAACGTGTGCAGTATGTTACTGAGCAGCTGAGCAAGCGAACTATTTGTACCATAGATATAAAAATACAGTTTATATTACTGTCTTTGGATGTTATTACTTATGTAAAGTTGGACAGTACTGCTGTTCTCAATACAAAGAGAGTTTATGGGTCGGTGAAATAACTAGAACGAAATAGTACGTATAGTTTCCCCTTCACGGTAAAGTTGCATATCTATATAGATTTCTTGTATAGATTTGGGTTATTATGAAAATTTGGCGCGATTTCGAGATGTTAAAACCGTTTACTGATTTTGGTTTCCTATCCGAGTAGAGGCAGGCAACTGTCTGATAATTAATGTAGAGTAACAGTTGTTGTGGTTTTGTGCAGGGTCAACTGTCCATTGGTATGAACCCAAACGGGCTCATATTTTGGGTTGACCGAGGGTTAACTACCTCCCGGAAATGTGGAAACCCTGGTTCGCGTTTATGGAGCTGAAGGGGTCATGGTCCGCGGGAGATGTTCATTTCGTAGGGCTTATTTTGGCGATGGCGAAAGCTTCGCGGAGTCGTAACTGAGATGATTTTGCGAAAGAGCGGTAAAGTGGAGTGAGGTGGATTGTGTCGGCTAGTCTCATAATCAAATACTGTAGAAATGGCTGTGATGGTCGGTGAGGGGGCGGGGAGGGGGGATGGCGGGGGAGATCATATCGTGAAGCAATCTTCCGACATAGCCGGATGGTGGGGTCGTAAAGTTCTCGAAAAGTGCCAACGCCTGGAGTGAACGTGGTTCGCCGTCATCACCCTATCCCTAGTTGTGTGACCGATGGTCAGGATGGCATGGTAGTTGAATTCGCTCTTCACGTTTTTGTAGGAGGGGAAGGAGGGGAGAGTATGGGGATGAAAACAAGGACCTGTTTTCATCCCCATACCTCTCAGTTGCTGACCTCTAAGCGGACCCTTCAACTTGAAAGATCTAGAGCTCGCTTTGAACAGCCAGGAAACTAACAAGTTAAGACACAGATAGCATGAGAAAGTTTTGTCCAGCGAAGGTGATCGACGTTTAGGTCGGCGAGGTCTACAATTTTTACCCATTCCTATAAGCGGTTGGGACAAAAATTTTAGGAGTTTGATTTTTCAGGTTCTCTTCAGCATTTCGATTTCAGTTGAATGAGCGT